ATCAGAAAAAGAAGAAATGGAAAATATTTTCATTCCAATTAGAATTTTAACGGCATACACTGAAAGAGAAAGGAACTGTTACAATTAGTGATTATCTCGAAAACTATGAATATTTTACTATACAAATGCATTGAATTATAAGTAGATAATAATTTTTCTGAGATTTTGAGACCACTCCTGTAGCTCTAGCTTGATCCTTCACGGAGTTATGACCAAAAACGCACATTCGACCTTCAAGTGACCTTGACCGGTTTCAACCTGTAACATCCAGTGTACCCTGGTTATGTGTGTGCCAACTTGTGTGATGATTGGGTGAATATTTTAGCTCGCAGATGGTTCAGAAATTGCCGAAATTGCCTATCCTTTATAATGGCGTGACCTTTCAATTGACCTGTGTGACCTCAAATGACCTCGGATCGTCACCAAACTTTGCAGCATGGGGCACGGGAGCTTGACCCACGTACCAAATTTGGTGACAATCGGCCCATAAATGGCGGAATTATTGCAGGTGGACAGACACGTAGACAGGATGAATACAAAACCTGGTCAACCCTTCGGGGACCAGGTAAAAATAATACATAACACTTGTATCGCGCTTTTCAGGACACTCAAAGATGTTTTACATGAAGAGACAAACAAAGGCAAACAAAAGAAATAAGACAGTTAATGTTACGGTGGTTTTAAAGAATCGGGTTTTCAGGGCTTTTTCAGCACAAACATAGGGACAAGTAACATACAGACACTTTTGGTATGGCTATAACTCCGCGCTCTCCCGCCTGCCTCTCATCATGCCTTCTCACCTGCTCATTGATTAACCTGCATCGGGCTCAGAACACATATCATTTTTCCCACACACGGCTCGCGCACGGATCAATATTCTCACTGTTGCTTAAGCTTGGACAACCTTTCCACTATCAGCTCCTATTGATCTCTCTCACATAATTGTCTGCATTTTCAAATCAGACGTGATCTTCTTTATGGACAGGCTGCCATGGCATTTGAAAAGACCCCGGTCCTGCTCCGTGACCTGCGGCGAGAGCAACAGAAAGGCCACGCCACATGGATTAGTTAGCATTTGGAACTTACTCTGCTCATCCTTATTTTTAGGCTTTTTAAAGGGCCCGTATAATGCTAATTTTTGATCTATGTTATAATGTTGTTTCCTCGTCGAAAACGTAAGTGTAGTTGTGTTTTGTTTCATTCACATGTTTGAGTTCTTCTCTCAAATTGAAAACACTGTCCCACCTTGTGATGTCATGTGATAATACAGGAAATGCTCCACTGTGTTGTTAAACTCCACACACCTTCACTAAAATCATAACTTCAGCCCTGGAATTTCTAATCTCTACTAAACAAAAGGTCAAATCCAAATCCACTTTTTCCATTTCTATAGCACATTTTACAAACAAAGCAGTCTCCAAAGATCACAAAATGAAGACCACAAAAAGGTAAATTGCTAAAATTTGGTCGTACCAGTCCTAAAACAATAAAATCAAATCAGTAAAATCAAAATCAAAGCAAACTTAAAACACTCCACTGTGAGGGCTGTTGGGACATAGGGAGGCAGAGCGTTCCAGAGTTTGGTGCCAGGCACAGAGAAGGACTTGTCCCCCCGGTTTTAAGTCTGGAGCTGGAGCTGACCCTCGTACCGCAAAGCGATGAGATCTGAGATGTAACATGGGGCCAGTCCATTCAAAGCTTTAAAAACAAACAATAAAATATTAAAATCAACTCTAAAATAAATCGGAAGCCTGTGCAGTGATGCTAAAATTGGGGTAATGTGCTCACATTTTTCGGTTTGGGTTAAAAGGTGCACAGCAGAATTTTTGACTAATTAAACGGCAGTGTTAACTTGAAAACGACTGATCATGACATCACAAGGTGGAGCAGAGCATTTAGAGCAGGAGTGTCAGACTCAAATTCACTGAGGTCCGAAATTAAAAACTGGGACTAATTTGTGGGCCAAATTAAATATTTATTGAAAAATTTCAACAACATCTGCATGTTTTCTCTTCTTTTGGGATATGTAATGTTAAACTTTTTTTATAAAAATAAATGTTTAATAATAGTTTTGCTTAAACATTGAATCCAAGACAAGCAGAATATAAAATAATAACACAATTTTAAATAAATAATGTCTCTAAAGCCTACCTGTAGCCGGCGGGCCAGCTCTAATACATATTTAATATGATCTCACGGGCCAAATATAATTATATCGTGGGCCAAATTTGGCCCCCAGGCCTGAGTTTGACATATCTGATTTTGAGCTTTGGAGATGCAGACAGACTAATAATAAAGGATTACTCAAACAGGTGAATGAAACAAAACACACCTTCAGGAGTTTTTGAGGTGGTAACAGTATTAGAACATGACTTAACTGGCCATAAAATTTTTGTTTACTTTTCTACATTAATTTATTTTATGACTTCCCAACATACACTGCAAGTAATACAGACTTTAACTCAGTATAATGTCCACCAAAGTGCTGTGGCATTCACATAGTTCAGTGAGCCGTCTTATAATAAAAGCTCCATTAGCAGCAGTGTTCCGTGCATTGGTGCTTTCTCCTCGTGCCTACATCAGGGGCGGGGCATGGCCTTCAGAATGGGCTGAAATTTGGGGCGTGCGTTCCTTTAAAAGCTTTGGTAATAACAGGGCGCAGACACGGGTCCCTCCTCCGGCCGCGTGAGGAGGGAGAGTCGCTCTGGGTGAAAGTCCATTCGGATGTAATTGGCAGTGGAATTATTTATGACATTAATTGCCACATTATCGACTGGCTGTCAGCTCCTCTGTCACTCTGTCCATCTTTCTTAGAGGAAAGAGCCAGCTCAGCCTGATGCCCAGTGACAAGCTAATTACTCCGTCACAGGCCCAATGACAAATGTTACTCATCCAGGATGTACAGGCGGGAAATAGACCCTCCTCCTCTCTCTCCAGAGCTGTCTCCCTCTCTCTCTTTCTCTCCCTCTTTATCTCTCTCTCCTTCACCTTCCCCCACTGTCTCTTTCTCTGTCACTCACTCTTCTTCGCCTTTTTCTCTTTCTCTCCCTCTCCTTCTCTCTTTGTCTCTCTCCCTCTCTTTCCCACTCTCTTTCTCCCTCTCCTCCCCCTCTTTCTCTCTCACTCTTTCTCTCTCCCCCCTTCCCCCTTTCTCTCTCTCTCTTCCTCTCTCTCTCTCTGTCCCTCTCCTTCCCCTTCTTTCTCACTCTCACTCCCTCTCTTTCTCCCTCCCTCTCTCCCCCCTTTCTCTCGTTCTCTCTTCCTCTCTATCCCTCCTTCTGCTCCCCCCTTTTTCTCTCCCTCTCTCCTTCTCCTTGCCCTTCTTTCTCACTCTCTTTCTCTCTCTCTCCCCCTCTCTCCTTCCCCCTTTTTCTCCCTCTCTTTCTCTCTCCCCCTCTTCCTCCCTTTCTCTTTCTGCCTCTCTCTTCTCCCCTCTTTCTCTCTCTCTCTTCCTGTCTTTTCCCCTCTTTCCCTGTCTTTCTTTCTTTCTTTTCTTTCTCCCTCTCTCTCTCTCTCTCCCTCTCCTTCCCCCTCTTTCTCTCTCTTCCTCCCCCTCTCTTCTTGTCCCTCTGTCATAGGTGCAGGAGAAGAGGAGGGGCAGCATTTTCTTTTTTCCAGAGCCTGTGCAGTTGTGCTATCAGTGGCCTGCTGTCAGTCACTCGGGCGTTGGTAGCCCTGGTGTACATTTGCATTAGCTGGTGCCAGTCCGTCCTGAGTGATGGAGGCTGACACAATGATTGGTCCTTAGTTGTGCTGACAGCAGGCGCACACAACGCGCCTTTTGGGGAGGTGAAGTCAAGTCTGCTGCTAGGAAACAGCCTGAGTGAGAGGAGCTCACGCTGCAGAAGAAATGGCACGGAAATGGAAATATAGAACAGTTTATATGTTCCAAAATCTTTTGATTGATTTTGTATTTTACATTTTTAGCAGTAACATTGTACCTAATCCTGGTACATACTGTTTGAAATAATGTAGTGTGGTTCATGTCCAGTTGATGTGGGTTAGTGTTAGCAAAAATAAAAAGTGAGTCCTCTCTTCACAGACTGTTGGGGCCATGTAAAGTGTGATTGTTGTAAACATGTGCTCTGACACACAGATGGAGGAGACATGTCAGTATCTGTGTGCAGTGTGGGCCTGCAGGCTGCAGCTGAATGTCACTGATCTGCTCTGATGAAGTCTGCCGCTGTATCAGGTCACAGCCCAGTGCCTACAGGTAAACCTTAATGAATCCACTGTCCGCCATTCATCCACTCACATACTCATCCACAGCAGGCATATGTCAGACCACCGCCCGCCATCCCATAATGCACTCTGTGTTGCCGTGGCAGCCTCAGATGCGCCCCTGACGGAGATAGGAAGTGACACGCACCAAACTTGGTGTGTCCCGGAGCCAGCTCCAGCAGCTCCGGTGACTGGGGCCTGTCAATTCCAGCTCCGTCAGGCGCACTGGCTCAATGGCAGTGCCACTGACACATGTCACAAACTTTTAAATGTCTGCTCTTTTCAGCAGCCAGGGGAACCATGACATTTGGGTGGTGTGGGGGGAACTTGTTGTGGATCCCACTTCCTGCCTCCTCTGCCTGTCAGCCCCACTCAGCTCAGAGCATATCAAAATACAGACAAATCAACCCTGTCATTCTGAAGGAGTGCACTAGTGACCAGCTCCTGAGCACCACCATGTCACTGGGACCGGGACGTGGACACTACACTACTCTGTGTTACTATGGAGTGTGCACTAGCCTCTGTAGTGTGCACTGGTCTGTGCAGTGTGCACTAGTCTGTAGTGTGCTGTAGTGTCTGTGGAGTGTGTACACACACTACTCTGATCATCCACAACACTTAGAACTGTTACATATACAATAAGTGTTTACTCAGCGTCATCTCACAGACACCCACATACAGAGAAGCTAACAGGCTAACAGGCTGTGCATGCTAAAGTGATGCTGGAGCAGAGGTTCTAGACGTCTGTGGGTTCTAGAAACATCAGGACAGACAGAACACAAAGTTAAATGTCTTTAATCAGCCAGTATAAACTGTACATGAGCATTCACAGCATTTTCATCGTAGTCATTCATTTATCGTTCAACACATGAGACAATAACAGTGAATACTGTGCAAAAATATGTAGACAAAGAAAATGATTGAAATTCATGGTTGTATTTTGATACACTTATTGCACATGTTGTATTTTATCTATAGACCACAAGTTAAACATTGACGTCTTAAACACACATTGGCAGACATAAAATATAAATGGAATGTACTAAAATAATAAAATCATACGCTCTGCCCTTCATAAAAACAGTAGGGGCTAAACTAAAAGAATGTTCAGAAGATTCCAGCACAGTGGTTTATAATTATCATTTTGTAAAATTAAAATAGATCAAAGTAGCTAAATATTAAGTAATTATTAAGTAAATGACTAAATATTTCAGACATTTTGTTTTTGGTAATCAATAACTATATATAACCAAAAACTTATTTTGAGCAATACAAGGCAAGTGCAATGCAATAAGTAGAAGCCAAATTTAAAGGTGCATCATGTAACATTTCTAGACATGGAGATATTGTTTTTTCTGGAATGCTCCAAAATGGTCTATTCAACTCTAAAGTATTCATTCAATTAGATGTGTTTTTGTTGTCTTACTATGAGCTGGGTCGCCTCTCCACAGATATAACTTGGCGTTCTCTCCACAGTGACAAGTTTAATACCAAACTGTGGCACTTTCTAGGCAAATCAGTAACACATCTATGGAGACAAGCAACACCAGAAAAGTTACGCAGTGCACCTTTATCAAACATTTCATCTGCTACTTCTACCTAGACAAAAATCCTTCAAAATATCTTCAAAATCAAATTTAAAAAACGAACTTCTCGCTCAGCTCAACCTATCACACCTCGACTTTGATCACGGAATATTAAACAGCTCCTGCATCAACGTCTTAATGTTTTTAACGGCAGATGCGCGTGCCTTGACAGAAAGAAAGGGATGAGACAGAGAAGAGGAGAAAGAGAGATAGAGAGAACACGGCGGGAGAGTGATGAGCCCGAGTCAGGCCCCAGGTGTGTGACCGTCACCCCTTCACCCTTGATTAGTGGCAGCAGTAGATAGGTGATCCATCATGGCTGTCAGAGGAACACAGGCAATTGGAGGGATGTGTTTGTCACCGACGGAGACAGAAAAAGAGAGGGAGAGAAGAGGGAGAGAAGGAGAGAAAGAGAGGGAGAGAGGAGCTTTGTTTGCGCTGGCTCTGCTGATGCTTAGAGGCAATCATGTCAGCTCAAGTGTCATCCCTGACTTTAAACTCGCACGGGGCCATAGCTCAAAAGGAGAGGCCGGGTTAAGATATAAGAAAAGGCAGCTCATAACGCGCACTAACATTAAGAATTGGTGGGTTACAGCTTCCTGGTGTGTGCGGTATCTTATTCAAAACATGGCATATATTTAGTTTTATACAGGGTAGCCGCGGGGTCTTAAAAGTCTTAAAAAGGTCTTAAAATTCATGTTCCAAAATTAAGACCTTAAAAGTCTTAAATTATATTGTCCAAGTCTTATTTTTTTCACAAAGGTCTTAAATTTCATGTTCCTAAATTAAGGCTTTAAAAAGTCTTCAATTTTGTTGTCCAAGTCTTATTTTTTTCACAAAGGTCTTAAATGTCATTAGCCTATTTTTTTGTATACTCAAATGAGCTGCAGTGCAATGTTAAATGGAGGAAAAAAAAAACATGAAATCACCTAACATGAATGAACATCTAATTTGGAGTATGCACAAACAATACTTTGGTTTCTGGCGCCGGCGGCAATGAGTAAACAATCAGTACAGTGAAAAACAGTTTGTTGTTGTTGAAAATTTTAAATAGTTGAAGCACTTTGAAAGACAGTGTGAGACAAGACAATGTAAGAGGTTTGTTTGTCTTGTTAGAATGTTATAAATGTTGTGGTTGCGTTCAGAAGCCACTTTCAAAGGCATCACGCGATTGGAAACTGTCCATAAGGTTTCATTTTATGCGGATGACCTTTTGCTCTATGTTTCTGACCCTGTCACTTCTTTCCCGACTATTTTAAACGTCCTGAGTATGGTTGATTATCGGGGTATAAACTTAACTACCAAAAAAGCGAGCTGCTGCTTATTAATGATCTTGCTACGGCACTCTCTCCTTCTATAGCACCATTTCGGTGGTCGAGTATTGGTTTTCGATATTTAGGCATTCAAGTTAGGGGACTTACATCGTGAGAACCTCATCCCCTTGATTGATAAGACTGAGAGGGACTTTGTGCGTTGGTCAGCTTTACCTCTTTCACTTGGAGGTCGAATAAGCTTGGTCAGGATGGTTCTCCCCAGGTTTCTCTACATGTTTCAACACCTCCCTGTTTTTCTTAACAAATCCTTTTTTAATACGGGCGACGAATGTGCAGAAACTTTTATTTTGGATGAGCGACAGAGAGGATTCCCTACCAAGCTGGGTGCATCTGGAGAAAAAATCTTCACAGTTCTCCCTGCGGTCTATTTTGTGCTCGCAACTTCCTCTCCCACATTTAACTAACTGTCCTGTGGTCTCTATCTCACTGAAGAATTGGAATCAGTTTAGGAAGCAGCTTGGCTTTTTGAGCCCTACCAGCCTGACATCAGTGTTTAGAAATTTTATTTTTGAACCATCTAATGGAGATTTAGCATTTAAAATGTGGCATAATAATGGGATTAGGTCAATTAGTGATCTGTATAATAATGGAGTATTTTCATCTTTGGAACACCTGTCTGTCAAATATCACCTCCCAAAGCATCATCTTTTTCATTTTTTTTTTCAGGTCCAGGATTATGTTAAAAAATTGTTCCCCCACTTTCCAAATCGCCCTCCAGAAACCTTATTAGACTCTCTTCTCTGTGGACACTATCACCAGAGGATGTATCTCAGTTTTGTACAGGTTAATTCAGTCAGAAATGTTAACATATTTTAATGCAGTGAAAAACTGAGGTTCTCACTCAGAGGCTCTGTTAAATTATTGAATGCTACCTGGGACCCCTTTTTACGTCACACTGACTCTTCCTCAGGATCTGGAGGATGACTAAAGTATAGGAAACAATCCTTTCTTTCCCTCTTTTTTTCCTCTTCCTATCCCTTGTAAGCTTTTCAAGCCTCTTCTTTGTATTCACTTACATTGTGTATTGAATTAATTTATCTACTTCTATCAATTTTATTTACTTAATCATTATTATTATTATTTTATTTTTAATTAGTAATTTATTTCATGTATTTATTTTATTTTTAACTTTATTTTGGGTTGTTTGGCCAGTGGGTGGGAATGTTATAATACTACTAAAAATGAGTTCTGAATGAGATTTTATAATAAAAGTATTTTTTGTTAGTTAAGCAGTGAGCAATGGTCTTTATTAGAATTGGATCTGGTGTTTTTCGCCTGCATACTGGGTGCAATGTTGGTCTTAATTTTCACTTAAGTGGTTTTAAAAATGTCTTTAAAAAAGTCTTAAATTTGGGTTAGTCAACCCTGGGGATACCCTGTTACTATTTACTATGGCAACAGGTCTAATTTCTCATCATTCTGAAACACACCAATACGGCTGAACAATTTGCGGGATAAAAGTTAATGTGATTAGAATTGTGATATTTCTTAAAATTTTTGGTGGAGGATCAGTTACCTGCTTGTCTCTATGGGGATGCTATTGCTTTCCCTGGAATGTTCCATGGTATGACATTAAACATACATATAGCATTTATTCATTACAGGGGTTTCTACTGCTCAAAAATACAGTCATTCCTTCAGTGAATAGGGGCGATTCTCCGCAGATCTGAGTTGTAATGTGACGTATTCTCCCTCGTGATAGATTTAAGCTATACTGTGGAACATTCTAGCTCGCCAAAGGGAATTATATCATTGTGCTGAATAACAAAAATGTTGGTTAAATTACATGCCTGTTTCTATTGTACATGTATCATTTTGAAGTCCAGCTTTGTGCACTAATAAATGAACAATGATTTATGTTTTATAGGCACCTAACTGTACCAAGAGCCTCGCCCTCTTTCTTATAATCGTCTCAGTTTCTTGCGGTCGTTAAAATGAGAAGCTCTCTTGCGTTTTTGTTTTGTGAAGGTAGCTCACTGGAGGAAAAAGGTTGGACACCCCTGTTCTAGACAATGCAATAACATTTCCATGGAGACAAGTAGGTGTCGGACCCTCAAAAAGTAAAACTCTGTTCTGAGTGCACACTGGAAACAACTCCAACCTCCAACATTTAAGAGAAGACTGAAACATGAATTGATAAACTAATATAATTCTATGTGTTTCAGTACGTGTTTTCAGAGGTCTAAACTACAGGTACTACAAGGTTTTTCTACAGAAAGACAGGATATTTTGTTCTTTGTAGAGTAACATTCTACTGGCTACATAGTTACAGCCTTTGCGGATTTGATAATTGTGCTAACTGTGCCAAATAGTAAGGCGGCTGGCCTGGGAACACCTTGGGGTCCCCCTGGAGGAGCTAGAGGAAGTGTCTGGGGTGAGGAAGTCTGGGAGTCCCTGTTTAGACTGCTGCCCCCTGCGACCTGGCCCCGGATAAGAAAGAAGAAAGAATGTGGATGGATGGCTGAATGAATATGCCAAATGAAATGACCAAGTATTGTAATGGTTTACAATAATAACAATAACGGTACAATAAAGCACAATAAAAAAGATCCAGACTGGGCGTGATTTCTTGCTGCTTGTGTTCAGTGGTGTATAATGATGCTGGTGGTTGTGTGGAGGTGGTTGGACATCAGAGTTGGTCGTTCCGGATGAATCTGTTGCCTTCTGAGTGTTTGCCGTAGTAGATGTAGCGGCACTTGGAGAATAGACCTAAAAACAAAATGGAGAGATATTAAAAAGTCAGGACTGAACAATAGGTTTTAGTGCTGAATAAACTTTTCATTGAGTCCACCTTGGAAACAAATTAGCCACCATTTAGTGCATGAATAGCCTTTTGTTTATATTACCATTGTATGAAGCAGCTATTGGCACGATAATCACTTTTTCTTTGCAATAGTGGGGAGGTTTTTGCTATTTTGTTGGGAATGACACAATTTGAGCTGTACAGAATTGATTAAGTAACTTTTATGCCTAATTATAGCTTCATTCTGTTATAAATTTGTTGCAGCTCATGCTTTTTAATGATGCTGTCACTTAAAAAATTGGTTTACTGCTATTATCTTGCTTTGTAGTAGTTTCAATGTTGTCGTTTATGGCAATATTTCTCTGTAGCGATATATGGTGTGTCAAAATTTGTCATTGTTACAGTAGTTTAAGCCATCAGGATTGTTAATTTTGATTTATCCATTTTAAACAATATTATTATACACCATCAATGCCACAAAGTTGTAGTAACACCCTTGGCACATTTATATAGGGTATAATAGTTTAATAATGTATACCTTAAAGAAGACATTGTGCTTTTGTCGGTTATGTACTTATGATCTATGTCACCATAAACGTTTAACAACAAAAAGCCACACCTTCAGTGGATAGCTGCAGTTCACATTAGCAAGTAGAAGGTTTCAGTTTTCAGTTTTCAGTTTTCTTCTGTACCAAAATGGCTATACAACGCTGCTGAATCTGATGCCTCTCACCAACTAAGACATGCACAAATCATTATAAATACAACTTGGAGAGAGTAAATGAGAAGGGAAAACAGCTAGAATGGCTAAAAGCTCTGAAAAGTCGATTTCACATAATAGCTTTACTCTTAACATTAAAATGATTGCGTTAAAAAGCAAAACCTTCCATCAATGTGGTATGAATGAAGTGATTGTTCACACCAAAACACATAATGGGAGATGTTTTCATAGTGTTGGAACTTTTAACAATCAACTGCAGTGTAGGTAAATTGGTTCTAAGTGAACACCGTAGCTGAAAATATGAGCCCTTCTTAACAGTGCCCACAGGCCTGACCGTAACAAGCCAACAGCCTCCCACGTCAGCCTACACCTACATACAGGCTCCATACACCCTGCATGTACGATGAGAGCACAAAGAACAATAAGACAGAAGCGTGGTCACTCTCCTCTCTGCGCAACAAGCCATTCAATCAGCCCTAGGACACTGTTTTAATCAATATTAGCAATATAAGAGCATATATCAGAGCTACAGAACAAGGGAGAACATTGGTGTTTTCAAATGGATTATTATACGCTGGGCTATTTCTGTTTGGGACTTTTGCCAAAGCAATTAACAAAATAGACCATATTTTTAATGGTTAGAAGTCTTCAAAATGACACCAATAACAGTAAACTGACACCTGCATGTCTCTATGGAGAACTATATCAAGTATTATCAGTTGTAATGCTGTAGAGGTGAAAGCATGCCAGGGTAACACATGCACATTACACACAATAGTGCAGGGGTCCAACCCAAGTAGCTCACCAAGGGATTTCTGATTTCTATGTATTGTGGATAATAAGTAAAATTTGATACATTACTCTTGTGATTATATCATTTGGATGCCTAACTTGCACTGATAAATAAATAATGGTTTATGTTTTATTAGCATCTAACAGTTCCTTGTCTAAGGCTCACCGGGGCTCTTAAGGCCTGTTTACATGAGAACACTCGAGGGTAAAAATGACAAAATATTTTATCGGAAGTGCCTTTCCTTTAGACGGTGACGGCGTTTTTGGGGCTTAAAAATGCAAAAATTTAAAACCACCCTCTAGAGTGGAAAAGTTGAATACACTTGCCCCGTAGTGTTTCTGTCTACACTGCCCAAGACGCAAAACTCTAGTCAGATCTGCTCACATCGCGTACACGTTTACGTCACATACATCACCACCAAGCGTCACCACCTAGCCTCCTGGCATACATACCCAATCGAATTCCACACACTTTTGCGTCACTGTATGCACGCAGATTTCCTCCTGAAAACACTTGTCTAAACGCGGAAATAAAAAGTGAAGATGCAATGCCACTTTTGCACCTTCTGTTCAGAACATCACCCTATAATCATAGCCTTATATTTACATTTTTTTGCAACTGCTGAAATTGGTAGCTCTCTGGTGTTTTTGTTTCGTAAAGGTAGCTCACTGGAGAAAAAAAGGTTGAAGACCCCTGCTCTAGTGTAACTCAGACTAGTGCTCCATGGTTTAATGCCACTGATCTCGCTGTATGAAGACATGCAGGTGACGTCATCAGGCCAAGTTACAGGTCAGATCTGAAAAGAGGCGACACAACTGACAGCACGTTTTAGCATTTTTGAGCAAGAAAAAGACATGCAATTGAATACATGCAGGTTGAATAAATATTAGTGTAATTAATTCACATAAAGCAGTATTATCTCTATCAAAACAAGCAGATGTACGACCCCACATCAAAAAAGTTCTATAGTGCACCCTGTGGTAATACCCTGTGGTCTGATAATTGCTGTTCTTTTCTACCCAAACGAATTCAACAGAGCAGTGTTTGAAGTTAATTTAGCATTTTGAGAGACATGTACTATTCAACTAGTACAATATAAACACTGTATAAAAATGTGTAGTTCAGTTTATGTCACAGGCAGGCACCAAGATGGCCGAAACCAAGATGTCCGCCCGTGCCTCCTGTTATGAGGTGAGTCTCCACACACGGGCTGTCCACACCACCAGCGTCTGGCCTGGTGTGCGTGCGCGTGCCCGTGACGCGCCCGCCCTCCCTGCCCACTTGATGAACGCTCCGGCAGCAGCTCGCCGCCTCCTCTCGCCCAACGCGCCAAGGACAAGTGGCATTAGACCCGTCAATGATCCTCTGACAGGGCGACGCGCGCAGCTTTGCCCCGGCTTTTTAAATAGACATCAAGTGCATTACAGCCGGTGAGAAGAGAGAGAAAGAAAGAACGAAAGAGAGAAAGAGAGGAGGAGAGACAGCGATGAGGGCTGCTCCGAGCGCTAAGTCCAATCACATAATCCAAAGAGACATTGTCAAGGGCGGGGAGCGAATGGCAACTAAGTGACAGAAAGCAGAGATGGGGACAGAGATACTGGTGCCATATTAGTGCCAAGCATATTCTGATGCCAGCCTCGATTCTAACCAAACCTGACACGGGCTCTCTCGTCTGCCCCCGCTCCCCGCCACCCTTCAAAGTGCCTGCGCGGAGGAGACAGTGGCGGAGACGCAGGCAGCACCCAGCAGTCCCTCGCAGCTGTAGTGGGTGTTCTGTCAGGCGGAGGCAGAGGGAGAGCGAGCGGGCCCCAGGACAAGCTCAGTCAATCTAAATCTGGACTTTGTAGTGCGCAGTGCTCATTTCCCCCTCATAGCCCCAGAGACTTGAGGTGATCCAAACACTCAAGTGTGAGGAGCTGTCACCTCCGATAACATCCATGGGACCGCTGTGTGCCTGCCTCTCTGCCTCTCTGCCTGTGCTGCTGCCTCGCCTGTGTAGGTACATATACTTGTGCAGCCTGGTGACACTTATGGGAGCAGCGGTGGGGGTACAGCGGGCCCTGGTAGGTGGTGGGTGGGTGATTTGCCGGAGGATATGGGTGCCATGGTTGGAGAGTGGGTTTGACACGGCAGGACTAGGCTCTGTCTGGCAGCGCTGTGATCATGTGGGCACTGGGGGCTCTCATATACTAGCACAAGCCCTGCAGAGAAGCTAACTCTCTCCCACAGTGCTAGCAGAACTAGCTCCTATAAGGTGTGAGCGGCAGAGGCTGTCTGTAGACTGCAGGTCCACAAGTGTTAGAAGATAAGTGTCACATGTGGACAGCTGCTGCAGCCTTCACACCCTGGACCAGAGGTGACCAGTGACACTCTAGCGGGGCCTGGGAATATAATAAGTGACATATGTTAAAGGGGCTCTACCATTTTCTTCATGTTATAAAGTCATTTGTATTCTGTCCCCGTACGGATAGATTGTAAAAGCACGAAAAGTAAGATTTTGCAATTAATCGAATTTTGATCGTGTTTTTAATTTGTGTGTCAAACGATCTCCAAATTCATATAATCGAGTTGAAACGAAAGCTTAACAAAGTTTATTTTGGGATATTTTTAATATAAATAAGTCTATTTATTTTATTTTTTTAAAATATAGAGATCAATATATAGTTTATTTTGAATACCCTTATGTTTTTCTATGCCTTATTTCATGTTCAAAGTATATTTTATTCATTTTATGTTTTATACATCACTAAACTGCTATAAGATACATACTTGTAGCATATATTTATTTTCAATTTGAAAGTTTTGCATAAATTATCAATATCAAAGTTTTTTTTGGAGAGAGAAATGTTGAAAAAGGCATCGTGTAACAAAAAAAATAATCATTTGGACAGTTACAAACCAAACAGTTGAAAACAACTAGAAAAAGAAAATTCATTTGAAGTTGAATATTACAAACATTTTGGGCCAATATTGACCAGTAAACTATCTCGTTACACCAATTTATAGACCAAAATAGGACATTGTCTGAACCGATATCTTGGAAGCCAAAATCCGATCCACTAAAATGTTCAATATCTGTGTCAATATTCAATACCAGTATCATACAGGTGCATCCCTACTTTTTAATTTGTCCTGTCAACCAGCGATGGGTCCAGACCAAACTGACTAAAGGTACATACATATTTTCAAATGGTTGTAAAGACAAGACTCCCGCTTTACTCATTATTACTTAAGCTGACTAAAATGAGAGTGCAAACTTTTAAAAATGAGACTACAATACACCCTTTTGCACCCCTGTCATCAACACACACACATGTGAAAAATCAGAAAGATGACTCATTTCAGGTGTAACTGTTTACATCATATTTCCATGACCTGATAACTCCAGAAATCAGATAATGATTGAATTTTTGGTGTACATGTAAACATACATAGCCAGTCTCAACATTAGT